CCCAGTTCCCAGTTCCCATCGCCTCCCTAGGGTGGCTGAGCCTGGCTACCTGTCATTTGGAATCATTACTCTCATTACAGGTCGGAGTTTGCATTTAAACGCGGCATTCGTCACTTTCATCATGCTTTTCTCGTCTCTTTTGTGTCAAGGTTGTTCTTATGGGCGGTTCCTTGCAAACACCCAGAGAGATTATGTCTCAAGACAAAGGAGAGACTGTGCGGTGGGTGCTAGACTCTCTGGTGGGGCGATCCCTTCGTAAGTCCAACCACTACAGTGTCCACCTGAAAATGCTATCACATTGGATGTCAACTATAATGGGAAATTTTTTTAAATTAAAAACCAAAAGGATGAAGGAGTAGTAAGGACGACATTTGAGTGAAGGGCTCTTACACGGAGGGGTTGTGTGGCCCTCAGACGCGCCATCAGGTCTTCTTCCCTACAGCGTTCAGATGTTCTGCCTGAGTCCCTGGAGTTGAGCAGGGAATGTCATGCTGAGTCCCAACCCCAAGAGGATACGGGGACTGGAGTTTTGGCTGGGTCTGCAGGAACTCTCTGTTCAATCACCCAACGGGAATCATTTATTCAGCACCACTGAGTCCCCAGCTCTGACCGAGAGAGGACACTCAGTCCCGGAGACAGAGTGGAGAGAGAGCCACTTCCAGGAGGAAAAGCTCAGAGGAAGAACCCTGGAAAAAAGCACTGCTCGCATCCAGATGCTACCCCCAGGGCATTTTGCTGCTCGCATCCAGATGCTACCCCCAGGGCATTTTGCTGCTCGCATCCAGATGCTACCCCCAGGGCATTTTGCTGCTCACATCCAGATGCTACCCCCAGGGCATTTTGCTGCTCGCATCCAGATGCTACCCCCAGGGCATTTTGCTGCTCGCATCCGGATGCTACCCCCAGGGCATTTTGCTGCTCGCATCCGGATGCTACCCCCAGGGCATTTTGCTGCTCGCATCCAGATGCTACCCCCAGGGCATTTTGCTGCTCGCATCCGGATGCTACCCCCAGGGCATTTTGCTGCTCGCATCCAGATGCTACCCCCAGGGCATTTTGCTGCTCACATCCAGATGTTACACTCAGGGCATTTTGCTGCTTTTCTAGGGGAAAAACAAACGAAACAAAAAATAATAGCACTTCCTCTTGGAAACCCAAGTGGAAAAATGGGAAGAAAGTCCCTCATTCTCCAAGCCTAGGAAATGTCTGTTGAGAAAACACTTGAATGAAAAGTCTAGGTCAGTGGTCGGCAAACTGCGGCTCGAGAGCCACGTGCGGCTCTTTAGCCCCTGGAGTGTGGCTCTTCCACAAAATACCGACTTCTGCTCATGGGCCACAAGGTTTCAATCGCACTGTACATGCATGCCCGCACATGGTATTTTGTGGAAGAGCCACACTCAAGGGGCCAAAGAGCCGCATGTGACTCTCGAGCCGTGGTTTGCCTACCATGGGTCTAGGTAAATGCACAATTACTTAAAAACACAGAGTTCCTTTCTGTCGTTTCTCCAATTGCAACGATGGGCATGAACACCACATGCTGATACCAGCAGCTCCATGCCCAGCTCCACAGGAGCGGGGAAGTACTCAGTGTTTAGAAGGGATTGCTAGGGCATTGCTGGGCTGTCACAGTGGGTGGGGGACGGGGCGGGGGGGCGTTACCTATGACTAATCTGTCAATACTCCCGTGGCTCCCAGCACCGGAAACCATTATGAAGATGTCTGGCCAAGACCAGGCGGGGCTCATGACACCCACCCAGCACATTGTCCATGTGACACCCACCCTCTCCCTTCTGGAGAGCAAACCAGTGACAAACAGCATGCCAGTGTCAACAGGCTGGAGCAGCAGGCCTGCTGGGCACCCTGGAGACTGACACCCTGAGCCTCCCTCGGGGACAGTTCAAGGTCACTGCTCTCTCCACCGTGTCCTCTGCAACTCCCACGGCATCATTTAGGTGTGTCAGGGATAACGAGCTAGTCCTTCCTCCCTTAAATAGTTGTTTTGGGAAAAGTAGGAACAAAGCTCTTTGGTCTTTAGTTCCCCCACCATGAGCCCCTCATCTTGTTCCATGAATTCTCTCCGAGATCTTCGCCCTAAACCGGGATCCACAGTCACCTGGTCCGGAGGGGCCTTGGCAGCCTGCGGTGTGCATTGTGGTGACACCCTGCGGTGCCGGGAGATGGAGGTGCCTGTGCCCCACTGTGGCCCCACTTGGTCCTGGAGAGCTGAGAGCGCTGTGCCCGTCCGCCTCGGGCATGGTCTCCTGCTCCGCGTGGCATTGCCACCTGGGTTTGTGGCCACCTCGTCGTGTTGTTGCTCGCTGTGTGCTGATAGGCCTTTCCATCAATCACATCTCAGTCCCATACCCTCCGCTGTCCCACCTTCCGCTCGCTCCTCACACACACAACACCCCGGCCCATTGCCTCACAGACAGCTAGGCCCCAACAGGCCTCGCGTTAGTGACAGTCATGCTGGTGGGGCTCAGTTGTTTGAGCGTCATCCCATGTACCGAAGGGTCACCCGTTTGATTCCCAGTCAGGGCACATCCCCGGGTTGCAGGTTCATTCCAGCAGCGGGAGGTAACTGGTCGGTTTCTCTTTCACATTGATGTCTCTCTCTCTCTCTCTCTCTCTCTCTCTCTCTCTCTCTCTCTTTCTCTCTTTCTCACCCCCCTTCTCTCTCTAAAACTAATAAAACATATTTTAAAATATTTTTAAGTCTTCATTAAAAATATTAATGACAGTCACAAATATAACATGTCTCTGCCACTAGGATCACATATCCTTGAGAAAAATCTAACATTTTAAAGTAAAATGGAGGCTCCTATTAAACACACTTTTTGCAGAGTTGCATGTTCACATGGTCTGTGAAAATACGATTTACGGAATTTGGACTGTGGGCCCAGAAGAGCTCAGAGGTTCCATCACTTCTCTTCACGCCCTGTAGGCAAAGCCTCCCCGTGTGGAGCAAGACTGGAAGGGTGCCTCCCCTGAGAGGCCCCTGTGCCGCTTCCTCCCATCGGCAGCTGCCAGGCTGAGAGCCAGGACTGTCCCAGGAATATCCCCTTGTGAACAGAGGTCAAGTCCAAGAGGCCATGCCTTTCTGTTCCATCCAAGGCTCCTGGAGCCTGTCCTTCCTCTTACCCTGTCAAGCTCAAGCTGTTAGACATGTGGGCCGACCTTTGTTCCTTCACAGCTTCCAGAAAAAAAAAAACAGGACTGTTACAGAACCATCACTCCAGCTTTATGGGTTAACGCACCTTGGCAGGGGTGAGCCTGCGGGTGGAGGAGAGATGACCCACTGGCAAAATACAAACGCCTCGTCCTTGGGCTTTGAATTAACAAAAAAGACCCCCATGTGGCCTGTACAGCTGTGCGAAGTGCACACACATTTCTGCTCCCCCAGCCTTTGTTTTGCAGATGCTCACAAATCTGAAAGTACATACTGACATTAAAACAAATCTAAATTTTTATAAGTATTGTAATGCACAGGAAAAAATTAAGCTATTGTACATAATCTTTTATAACTTGGGTTTTCCATGCAAATTCCTTTAGTTTTATCTGACTTCTACTTTTCTTGTTTCCTCGGCAGCAAAGACACAATCATATCGATCGATCAACATAGACTGGACTTTCCGTCCTCGATAAGCCTGAGCCCAAACTGCAGACTGCTTCACACTCACCTGTCTTCACTCCGCTCTCGTCCTCAGAGGCAGGCCGGCCACCAGCGCTTTATATGTAGTCTCTGTCCTGCTTCCTCTTTTAAGTGTTGACTTCAGCCTATTATGAAAAGATTTATGGCTAAGCCTAACAAATTATAGTAATGGTCATAGTAATTACAAACACTTTGAACTTATATAAGGTCTTCTATTCAAGAATGCCCTGGCGTTTTTGCAAACATTAACCAATTAGTTCCTTACCACGCCTCAGAGGGCAGATCCTAATTGTAGGTTCACTTTGTTACTTTCAGGACCAACAGTTTCTGGGAATGGAGTTAGGTAAGAAGAACGGGAGGGAACAGGGAAA